TTACGACAGTACGGAAAAAGATTGACTAGAATTTGTTGGCAAAAGAAAAAAAAACTACTGACACTTAAGGTGGGTGAAAGTCGAAAAATAAAATGGAAAAATTTTTGTTTCGTTTTTTTTTTTCTTTTTTTTTCGTTCCCTCCTCTCCCCCGATTCGCTGCTTTCCCCTTCTCTTAGCTCCCGCCCAACATCTTTCTTCTAACCATTTTCCATACCAAATTTTTCTTCCCATCGTCCGCGCTGGACGTCCATCGCCAAATACTTTAACCGCCTTTAAAGTTTGATGTGTTGTATGTATCCGACAATTGCGCGCGCATCATCAGCGCGCAACTGCGCAGCAAAACACATCAATTGAAATGGGCACTGTGACAAATCACGTAACCACCACTAAACTGCGGGCAAACATCAGAAGTGCTGGTGCTGCTGCTGTTGCTGCTTCTACTGGCGTTGCTGCTGCTGCTGCTGTTGCTGCCGCAAAACATAGCTTCTCTGCCGTTCTGCCGTGTTCGCAGCTTTTTGGAACTGTTATAACGATCGATGACAATGGTAAAATGAGAGTTCATAAAGATGACAGAGAAATGGTTTTTTTTTTAGAGGATGAGAAGAGCACAGAGATGATGAACGCAGCGGAGACACAGAAACAGAAAAAATAAACACACAAACGCACTATAGCAGTAATTTGAGCAACATTGATTTTGCTTCAAACAAACAGCCATATAGAATTTAGTCTGTTTGTGTTTGTGCGTTCCTTTCTGCTTGGCTGTCTGCGTGTATGTCTCTGTGTCTGTCTGTATTTATGCGAACGCTCTTTTTCATTGACAATTCTGTTCGTTTACTTTGAACACCCAACGGGTCCTACGACGACTGTTACAGTAACGCATTTATGGCGCTAATTTTTAAAGTATGTTGTATTGTGTCATTTTTGTTACCGACATTTATGCCTTTCACATTGTTCTTGGAAAAAAGAAAAACGAAACAAAGAAAAGAAAGAAATCTGGGAAGAGTGGATGGCATATGTTTTGGTGCCTGATCCATTTGACTTTTTGTTGATACCTGTTCATTGATCGGATATAATTTGAATGATAATTATTCATTTTTTCAAATGTCTTATAAGATGTTCGAAAAAATTTTCATTTTTTTTCCCAGTGCACTTCTTCACTTCCTTCCAATCCATGTTTTTTTTCCCTTTCGCACATATTATTTTTGATGGTTACAGTTTATGTTTACTTTTAGCAAGTTTTTTTTTTTTTTTAGATAGACGGCAGAAGAGCACTTTTTTCCCCCTGCACAACTTTCTATTTAGAAGATTCTTTTTTTTTTTCGCTGCCGTTCAAGGAACTTTCATGATTTGAATGCAAAAAAAAATAAAGTACACTTGGTAAAAGTTGTAGGAAATGGAAATTTCTCTGTCATATTTCAAGAAAACACTCATCCATTTTTTTTCTGCAAACTCAACATATCCCTCAAGTCTCTCAGGTAAAAAAGAATAAAAACTATAAAATGGAATACTGAAGGTAAGTTACTAGCACTTGAAGTATCATATGTACCTTACCAACTAAAAAAAAGGAGTGTTTTGGTACAAATGTTTGTATTCGGGCTCATACTACTTTTTCAATTGCTCTTTTCGTCTATTTTAGTCCAAATTTACAGAAAAAAATTTTAGTTTTCAGATGTTTTCTGTGATTGGTGTTTTATTATGTTGTCATGTGTTTAACGCTCAAACATCTAAATGCATATACTTATGTAAAGATTGAAATAGGTGGTATCGATGAATCTTTCTCAGATATTTCATAGCTCAATAATTTATTGACGGAACTTGTATAAATTTTAAAGGAAAAAAAGTGGTTTCTTTTTTTGTGGGTCCATACCTTTTCTGGTATTTTGGGATGAGAAATTTTTATTGGTATTCATTTCTTCTTTAATATTCATGACAGTATTCTTTACGTCCATTAACAACAACTGTGTAAGCAGTTAACTGACTATTGATGCTCTATAAAACAGGTCTAATTTTACGGCCCTTGTTTCCGCGATACTTAACTTTTTTTGCAGCAGCAGTGGCAGCAGAAGAAAAAAAAAAACTTTTTTTGTATTTCCTAAGTCTAAAGCAATCATAGTTTAATGATTCAGTGTGACAGTAAATGCAAAAATGTTTTTACGTTTATAAAGTGGAACTTTTATTGTTGTAAGTGTTACATTCTCGTAGGTGTCTATATCACGTAGCTGTCACTATTCCACCTATGAGAAAAATCCTAATCTGTGGTAATTATTTTTGCAATCAATGAGTGGAACATTTTGTTTAAACTCTGTAAAAAAAAAAAAGTTGCAAGAACTCATCGATAGTAAAGTTTTGTAAAAAGAATTTGCTCTCTGTGTTTAACATTATCGATGCAGCTGAGAACGAAATGAGACCAAGAAATCTGTCCTTATACTATTGCATTTGAAAATGACGAAGGATTTGATGAAGTTTTGAAAGGTAGTGATAAATTTATTTAATTCTTATCATAAAGATGACCAGTGTTTAGTTCATTTTGCTTTTTTTTTTTTCTTCTAAATGATTCTATGATAAGGAAAAGCGGCAAAAGATAAAAAAGTTAGTGAACTAATGTAAGAGTGATCTTGCTGTTCATTTTGGCAGCGACATAAAACAGATGGAAAAAAGCAGTAACGTTGTGCTGGAAAGGAAATAGTGCCGTTGTAAAGAAGTGTCTCGATAAATAGGAAAAGAGACTTCTTTTCTCTTTTTTTTTTTTTTTTTTTTTTTTTTTTTT